TGACTTCTAGTTCAAAAAATTTTCTTCTGGGATCCCTTTTATAGGTAAAAAGGTCTGGGAAAAAATGGTGGGGGTAAAAAGTATATAGCTAGCATCAATCTAAATGACTTTTTTTTGCACATTAACACCACGGTGAAAATATGAGAAAAAAATTCTACTTGGTTTCATATAGAAAGATGACGCTTAAAAATTCGATTTCTCATGATTACTTTAATCTATGTCACTTAAAAAAAAAATTTTTTTGAAAGGAATTAAGTTTGTGAAGAACTACAAAAAACGTAAAATTGGGCATTTATTGACTTCTAGTTCAAAAAATTTTCTTCTGGGATCCCTTTTATAGGTAAAAAGGTCAGGGAAAAAATGGTGGGGGTAAAAAGTATATAGCTAGCATCAATCTAAATGACTTTTTTTTGCACATTAACACCACGGTGAAAATATGAGAAAAAAATTCTACTTGGTTTCATATAGAAAGATGACGCTTAAAAATTCGATTTCTCATGATTACTTTAATCTATGTCACTTAAAAAAAAAAATTTTTTGAAAGGAATTAAGTTTGTGAAGAACTACAAAAAACGTAAAATTGGGCATTTATTGACTTCTAGTTCAAAAAATTTTCTTCTGGGATCCCTTTTATAGGTAAAAAGGTCTGGGAAAAAATGGTGGGGGTAAAAAGTATATAGCTAGCATCAATCTAACTGACTTTTTTTGCACATTAACACCACGGTGAAAATATGAGAAAAAAATTCTACTTGGTTTCATATAGCAAGATGACGCTTAAAAATTCGATTTCTCATGATTACTTTAATCTATGTCACTTGAACCACTGTATGTCTCAAATTGAACAAATTTGAAAAAAACAAGTTTTTGCAGGGTTGTCTGCAATTTGGACAACTTGGTTCGCATTGTTGACTTGTTATGCTCTCATGACAAGAACTGAAGACACTATGTTTAAAAAATTCATCCTCGTGCATTGGTTTAGTGTAAATGAACATTCCTTTTTTCTTGGAAAGAGAAAAAGCGAGAAACGGCCTTAATTCAAAGAAATTATTTTATTTCCTGGAACAGTGATTATAGCCAATTCAATAGAATTAACTTTAATTTTTTCCTTTCCAAAGAGAAAGTATTGTAAATTTCGTAGCCGAAAAAAAACAGGTTACGGTAGGATAGCCAGATCAAGAGAGTTGAAACTGTCTATGTCTTTTTGCAAATGGGTTAAACAAGTATTCGATAAAATTTCGGATATGACGAGTTGTGGAATATTTCAATTGTTCCGTCTTCCCATTTATTAGAAGATTCGAAATATAGAAAAAGTTTTAGTCAGAATGACCTGCTACAAAACGTCGAATAATTTTTCTATTTTGCAAATATCTATGTGAAGATTTTTAAGCTTAAAAAATTTGAGTTTCCCGTTTAAATTTCACGCACAGAAAAGAACTCCGTCGCAATCAATTTCGGTTACTGCTGACTGTTTATGCTTCATGGTGTAAAAAAAATCTTCGTACCTAGAGTTTGATAATTTTGAGATAAATTTGTGAATTTGATTATGATGGTAATTGTTAATATAAAGGTGTAAATTGTTGTCTCCTTCCCAAGATGATGAACTCGCTGACGCTACCCGGTAAAAAAAAACTTTATTGTAAATGAGAGAAAAAGATTTTATATGAGAGAAATTGTAAATGAGAGAAAGAGAAAAATAAGAAGTTGGTTTAATGATCAAAGAATATTTATTTTCCAGAAATATTGTTTCTTTTTGAATGTATCGATTCGATTGTATTTTCTTTTCTCTCAAAAAATTATACACGCAAGTGAATTACCTCGAAATCTGTACTCATTACTTCCGATTAAGCAAAGAACAAACACAGTTATATTTTTTGTTCGAAGAATCCATTTCAATTTCTAATTTTTTCATTTGTCGTTATTATTGATGTTACCATGTAAACAAAACATCGAATCCGTTTTACTGAACCATCAACCACGAATTACCTGCAACAACAGAATTACCTTTACAAGGATTAGCTAAAGTGGCAGATGTTCAGATAATTTCTAGTAATATCTTTCCAAATTACACTATTGATATCCATGTTTTTGTGACGTAAAATGATCAGGGTCGAGTTGCTCGACTTTTTTTGAATGTCGAGCAAGTGCACTTCATTTGGAGCAAGTTCAATTTAATCATGTTATTTGATAGTCGAGGAAACCGAAATGTATGTCGACCTTGATCGAATCATACTCCCTTTTGTCGAGAATGTCGAAACAAATCTATGCCGGATCGAACAAACAAAGTTTATGAAAATGTTGGACGCAACTTTCTAGAAAGTCCAAAAATAACACTTTCGGTTAAGAAATTCGAAACACATCTAAACTGGATCGAATTAAGTTGAAATTTTTTTTTGTTAGATTGAGGAAGTCAAAACATACCCAATTTTGTCGCAAAATTAGAAACATATCGGAATTTAGTAAAAAAAACGGATAAGAAGTTTAAAAGAAGTTTTTTCAAGCGAATTTAAGTTTAAAAAAATTTAAAGTTAGGCATTTTTTAAACCATATTTCAGAAACGTTTTTCTGCGATTCCCTTTGTAGGTAGAAAGGTCTAGGAATAAACAGTGGGGGTAATTCTTATGTATTTAGCATCAATCTAAATGAATTTTTTCTTTTCTTTTGCACAATCCCAGCACGGTGAAAATATGAGAAAATGTGTAGTTGGGTTCATCTAGAAAGATGATGCTCAAAAGTTTGATTAATCATGATTACTTTAATCTTTTTCACTTGAATCACTGTCGGTCTCATTTTGAATAACTTTGAAAAAAACTAAAGATTTTGCACTGGTTGTCTGCAGTTTGGGCATTTTGGTCTGCGTTGTTTATTTGTTATCCTCTCATGACAAGAACTAAAGACACCATGTTAAAATTGTTCACCCTCGTGCATTGAGGTAGTTCTTTTACTTTGTGTGTCCACAAGACATATTGGACATTTTTTATGACAATAAAAAACTTTTGCGGTACTAACTGACTAATGGAAAAAGCCTGAGAAAGCGTGGGACATATGGCATATGGGTCAATTTTTGGTGGCTGGTAGAACACATCAATTACAGAGGGTAAGGGTTGGGTGAAAATCGATAAAGTGAGTCAAATTAGTAGTCTTTTTTCCTTGAATGGAGTAATTCCTTTGTTCTTTGCTGGCTCATGACAAAAATAATACAAGGTTTAAAAAGAATGGAAAAGGTTGAAAGTGGTGGTTTGGCTTATAAGGCAGAGAACTTGCCATACTGAGAAAATTGGAGCTGGCTCTACTCGTGGCAGTCAACACAAATTAAGTGGGGTGCCTGATTGTGTTCATGATTGTGTGGTTTTTGAATCTTTTTTTCCAGCAAAACAGATGAGAAATTGTAATATAGTATTGAGATGCTGAGAAGTTTTCCGAAAAAATTGATGTGAAAGAGTTTTGAAAATAAAAAGGAGAGAAGAAAAAACATCAAAAAAATTTTTGATTGATTTTCTCTGTCATTTTTTTATAAAGTTGAAGCTTATTAAAAAATAAGCAAATTTGGGAAGTTAGGTTAATTGAAATTGTATCATTCTCGTAAATATATGCATTAAAAATTTGTCAAAAGTGTGAATTTTTTTTGTTCACGATGATGGTAACGTTTTAAAAACCACTGACTTTTCCATAAGACAACTTCAAGTTGCTCTTATCAGGATAAATCTAAAAGTTTGTCAACGATGCTACAACATCATCCACTTGATTCAGTGTGCTGTATTCTAGGACCTTATTAGTAAAAAAAACATTCTGGTCTAATCAGAAAAAATCTGTTTTTTCTTAGTAATTTTGATGTGGTACTTGATAACCACGATTTGCTTCGTACAGGGGGTTTATTCATGAATTTTTGCTGATTTTATGACAAAAACATCCTGTAGACTTATTGGACTCAAAAAATTTGAAAAATCAAAACAGTTTTTGACCTGAGGATCATGTAGCAATTTTTTATTAGAGGAATTTGTCGTTTGCTGTTAACGCAATTTTATGCTCAAAAATTAACTAATTCAAATATGGCGATTTGTGAAATTTTTCAATTTTTCCGTCTTACTACTTATTTTAATATTCGAAATATAGAAGAAATTTTGGGCAGATTTAAAGTTTCGACCTTTACATTAATCAACTAAAGTGGACAGATGTTCAGAGGACTTCTTGTAGTATTTTTCGCAATTTCATTATTGATATCCATGTTTGTGTGACCTAAATTAATCAGGGTCGAGTTGCTCGACTTATTTTCGACTTTGGAAGTTGAGCAAGTTCACTTTATCGCGAGCAAGTGCAATTTAATCATGTTATTTGATAGTCGAGAAAGTCGAAACTTAGGTTGAGCTCAATCAAAACGTACTTATTTTTGGTCGAGAAAGTCTAAACATATCTATGCTGGGTCGAATAAACAATTTATAAAAACGCTGGTCGACTTTCTAGAAAGTCCAAACATAAGAAATTTCGGTCAAGAAAATTGAAACAAATTTGAACTGGTTCGAACAAGATCGAAAACTTTTTTTGTTGGGTCGAGAAAGTCGAAACATACCAAATTTTGTTGCGAAAATAGAAACAAATCAATATTTAGTCCAAAAAAAAACGAAAAACATATCGAACACCTTGTCTCGTGTTAATATCTGCTTGGTGTTTCTTTTGTGGCCGTTTAAATGGAGGCAGAACAATTAACAGACTTGTCTAAGAGCAGAAAAACAAAAAATGTTCCACGAATGAAAGGACCAACAAAGGATTGTACAACTCATCATATCGAATTCAGTCCAATCTGCTCATTTACCGGTCAGCGTTTACTATGTTCTCATAACTTTTCAGTTTTTCATGAATATAGTTTGCTTACTTGTTACTTGCTAAAAAACGCAGCCGTTTTTTTTTGGTTTCTTCAAGTGTCCATATACATTTAAACACGGGTAAAATAAAAAAAATTAAGTTTATGTCAAAAATGGGAACCATTCGGTCCTTTGAAAACAAAATCATAGAAAATATGAATATCGAAATATATTATTTCTAACTATAAAGTAAATCTCTGCAATATGAGCAACATTTTTAAAACTTAACAATAAGTACGGTACAACAAAATTTGAAATAATTTTATCTTTTTTCTACACTTTTTATGTATCAAACTTTGGTTTTCGTTCCGTTTTTGATATTTTTTGTCCATTCTTTTTGGATTTTTTACGCTATTTTTCTCCATTTTCGCTGTTTTTGCTTTTCTGTAATGGTCAACTCTCCATGACCATGTCAAGCATTTTAGACAGCTCGTTGTAGTCGATCAAGTTGTCATTATTGGTGTCGAACTTCTTGAAGTCTACAGCAATGGCGTTGAACTTGGCCTTCAAGTGTTTGGGGACCCTGGCCAAGAACCGGTCGAACTCTTCTGGGCTCAGCCCTTCCTCCTTGTCCATCATTTCAATGTCGGCTGCCAGTTTTTCCAGCAGGGATCTAAAATTCATTATTAATAAATACTAAACAAAATTTTTTTAAAAAAAGAGACTTTTTTCATGTAATATTGAATTGCTGTATCGTATAATTCGGTGCGATGGAAATCAAAATAGGAAACTATTAGTTATTTGAATTTTCTAATAGCACTTATTTTTGTAAAATAAGATTTATTTCGCCTTGATTAAAAGTTGGTTCATGATGTGTTTAAAGATATGGTTTATTTCATGATAAAAAGATAGAAAAAACGGCACACCAACAAAGTTAATTTGAATATTTTGAAATTATTTGAAATTATATTACCTATCCATAGCCTGCATTTTTTCGTCCAGCTGGTCGAAAAACATATCTTTTAATTTCTCGAAATCGTCTCTGATTTTCGCCAATTTTTCATTCTCCCCAGATAATTTCTGGTAAATTTCCTTGAATTTTTCCAACTGTTGGTTCAACTCTGCTATTTTAGATTCGAGAGCATCATTATTAGCCTGCAGTTTAGCAGAAGTTTCGCCCAAAACCTTATTTTGCTCGGCGAATTTCGCATTTTCTTTTGCGAACTTTTCAACTTCCGCTTGGAGTTGCTTGATTTTCGCCTCCAAATCTGCGTTATTTTGGGCAAATTTTCCATTTTCTTGAGAAAGTTTTTCCGTTTCTTCTTTCAGTTGCCCGATTTGGGCAGTTAGTTGTTTGTTGTTTTCTGCCATTTTGTCATTTTCGCCAGCCAATCGATCTACTTCGGATGAAAATTTCGCGATTTTAGCTTCTAGTTCTTTGTTGTTCGCAGCCATTTTTTCGTTTTCTGCAGTCATTGTTTCAACTTGCGCGCCCAATTTGTTGTTGTTTTCTTCGAATTTTTTGTTTTCTGCACCCATTTTGTTAACTTCGCCTTCTAATTTTCCGACTTGCTCTTCCAGTTTTTTGTTGTTTTGTTCCAGTTTCGCATTTTCAGCTGACATTTTTCCGACTTCAGCTGTAAGTTTGGCGTTGTTTGCTGCAAATTTGTTGTTTTCTTCTGTCATTTTGTTCACTTGACCTTCAAGTTTGTTCACGTTGTCTTCCAGAGCCTGAAAATTTTCGCAAAAAGTTTTGATCGGACAGAAAATTTTTTTAATTTACCCGTTGCGATTGATTTGAAATTATAGACACACTTTTAGCGATTCAATAGCGTTGAAAAATTATTTTAGCGACAACACCTACAATCTACAACCCAACAATCCGATGTACAAGAGCTTCTCTACACTGCCTTCACTACACCCAAGGAAACAACTGCCCCAGGAAAGCACTCTTTTTCAAGAGTCATAAGTCGGCCGATAAAGCCTGTATAAAGGTGCTATTGGAACCAAGTCCCAAACCGGCACTTGCAAACCCAACGGTGCGCAGCCAACCTGGGTTCTGACTTGGATCGGTCGCAGTCCTGATTGGCTTTTTGTCCCTCCGAGAGAGTGTCACTGCCGCAGATCTAGAAGTTGGTTGGTCCCTATAACACCCTAGTCTAAGCAACACATTGCGAAAGCGGTGCTAGCATTCTAGGAGACAGAGATACGTTGCGACCGGGTCTGCAATTGCTTACTTGGACAACCTCTACTCTGTCGTTATTGTTGGACCTACCAAGAGTAACCCGACGGAAGAGGGTCTAGAGGGAAGGAGAAAGTGCCCAGAAGGACGAAGAGGGTGCAAGAAGGAGGGCTACCAAGAGTAACCCGACGAAAAAGAGACAAGAGGGAAGAGGAAGGACAAAGAGGAAGAAAGGAAGGACAAAGACGAAGAAGGAGCAGTCCTGCTCACATAGTGAGTGAAGAAACTCCCCGCCCCCCCCCCACAATGCCATCATCCCTTAACTCCCAAATGGCATCAGCAATCGCAAACTACGACCAAAGCGACGACGAATCTAATTCCGAGTTAATAATCGAAGGAAGCCTGACACCAACAAGCAATGATCGAGGAAAGGCCTCGCCTCAAAGGCAACTGACAATGGGACCAAACCAAGATCGACATGCTGATTACAACACAGTAAAACGAAAGCAGTTCAAGAATGTGCCCAAAGGGCAACCGACAATGCATTCAGAAAACTGGCAAGACAATCTTGATGACGCTTCGCCTAAAAGGCAACCGACAATGGAGCAAAGTCAAGCAACTAATCGAAAGCGCAAAGCCGAAGAATCACAAGCTCAAAGCAACAAAAGACTAAACATCACGAACATTATCTACATAAGCTTTGCAAAAGACAAAATTCCAAGCAGAATGACTTTCACCAAATCAATACGTAACCTGACTAAAGTACAATATCCTGGTCAAACCAGGGACCTCAAGACTGGCCTAGGCTATTCAATCAAGCCTGAATCGCCTCAAATTGCCCAAGTTATCACCCAAGCCAACCTCGATGACCTGTTTCCCGACACAGAAGTAAAAATCGGAGGCAGACAACACAAGACAAACCAACCCAAGAAGAAACAAACTTCCAGCTTTGTTATCTCAAGAGTCAGTGAACAACTCAGCGAAGCTGACATCAAATCTGAACTTGAGGAGATCAACAACATCAAGGTAGCAAAGCTCTTCCGAATCCAAAGCAGAAGCCTAGACAAGCCAACACAACTCATCAGAGTTTTCACAGATGATGACCTCGCCGGTAGAAAGGCAATCGACAATGGGGTCTACATCTGCAACGAACTGAAACGATGCGAAGCATCCAAAACAGAACCACGAGTAACACAGTGTTACAAATGCCAAAATTTCGGCCACATGGCCATTAACTGTCCGAACCAACAACGATGCCTCAGATGTGGCGAAAACCATGCAGTCAGAGACTGCAAAATTCCAAAGCAGCAAGCTAATTGCATCAACTGCAGAGGCGAACACCCGGCGCAGTACAAAGGCTGCCCGGTTTACAAGTCAGCTCAAGTCGAAGCCCAAAAAGCACAACCAAAAGTGCAAAACTACGCTCAAGTAGTCAAACCACTACCAACCACAACCGAAACACAACCAACCATGAGCAAAGAGGACATACAGCAGTTCATTAAAGAAACTGTTGAAACTACAATAGCCGATCAAGTCGAAAAAGCAGTGCAGAAAACAATGGACGAAAAGATAACCGATGCAATCACCAAAGCTGTCGCTAAATCATGTGAGAAAATTAACGAAACAGTCAGCAATGCAGTCAAAACTCAATTCGAGAAAATAGATTTCACAGAACTTTTAACATCAAATATAAAAGCAAAAACACACAGAGAAGCAAGCAGCAGCAGACATAGTAACTCCCGAAATCATAACAACAACAATAAACCAAAATGAATAGACTCAAGATAGCGCAACTCAACTGCAGAAGTATAAACAAGCACAAACTGGAGATCCAAGATCTTCTAGCGAAACACAACATCACTATAGTCTGCTTCAACGAAACAAAAACCAAACATCCACCAAAACTACAAAACTTTAACCTTGCAGCGGCAATCTGTGACAGTGTCACAGGCTCGGCAATTTACATCAGAGACAACATACAGTACCAAGTACTGGAACAAGCACAACACATAAACCACAGAGAATGCAGAAAAGTATGCGAGACGATCAAGATCAACACAATGGGTATCATTGTAACAAGTGTTTACCTTAGCCCAAACGCAGAGATAGAGAACGTGACTTTCAATGGAAAAGATCCAAAGCACATCATCGTTGGAGACTTCAACGCACAGATCAAATCTGTCAACCCAAAAGCAAGAGCAACCAACAGCAACGGAAGAGTTGTAGACGCTCTCATGCACAACTACTTCATCTTGAACGGTTCCGAACCAACACACCAAAGTGACTCAGTCCTAGACTTACACTTTGCATCACCAAAAATGGCTTGCTTATGCACGAACTTTGAAGTGTCAGACACAACACCAAGCGATCACTACATGACAATTGCAGAGTACGAACTAACTGTTCCAAAGAGAACATGCACAAAACCAAACTGGCGAAAATTCAGAGGTACAGTAACGAACTACAAGTTCAACCCTGACTCAATCAAAACTGACGAAGGTCTAGCTCGAGAAGCTGACCAGATAGCCAAACACATTGACAAGTGCTACCAAGGCAGCCTAAAAGAACACAAGCCCCAATTCACGAACCCACAACTAGTCGAACTAGTCAGAAACAAACACAAACTTGAACGACAAAAACAAAAGATGAGACGATATGACCAACAAGACACCAGTGACTACAAAGACCTGTGTACAAAGCTAAACAAAACAAAGAAAGACATCAGACAGCTAAAACAGACAGTAGAAGAAGAAAACCAACTCAAACTACTCAGTGAAATGAACAAAGGACCAACACAACAGAATTTCTGGAAAGCAGTAAAAAAGCTCACAGGCACAAGACCTAAACGAACGAGTAAACTGAAAATGACAAATCAAGACGCTGCGAACCACTTCGCTAAGATGCTCAAAGCAAACATGACGACAAATATAACAAACTCTCAGGCAGCTCTAACGCATGAACAGGAAGTACATGACAAGGTGTCCCAGGCGAAAATCCAAGACTTTCAACTAGAACAGACAGGTTTTGCACAAACAGAAATTAGCTTAAAGCAACTCAAAGACGTGATCAATCACAGAAAAAACACTGCCCCAGGACAAGACAAAGTTAGCTACAAAGCGATGAAAAACCTGCCCATCAACGTACTAGAATTACTAAGACAAATCATAGTACAATCGCTGAGAAGTGGCTACGTTCCTTTAGGCTGGAAACAAGCGACAGTATCAATGTTACCAAAACCCGAGAAAGACCACAAAGATCCCAAGAACTATAGACCACTCTCACTTACAAGCTGTATCGGGAAGATCTGCGAATGTTTTGTCAAAGAGCAGCTGCTAGTACACTGCGAAGATCACGACATCTTCGGACACTTTCAAAGTGCATACCGAAGCAAACGATGCACCACCGACAATTTACTCTGTCTAACAGAGACAATCTATAAAGAGAATAACTGGAAGCAACCCGTTGCAGCAGCATTTCTGGACGTGCAACGAGCTTTTGACTCTGTCTGGCACGAAGGCCTATACTACAGACTACTAGAAATCAACTGTCCGAAGTGGATTGTAAAATGGACCAAGAGTTTTCTGACAGACCGAGAGTTAACAGTAGTATACCACCAAGCCAAAGCCGACAGTTTCACACCCAGTGCAGGAGTACCACAAGGAAGTGTAATCAGTCCAATTCTTTTCAACATCTATGTAAGCAAACCAGATGCAGGTCTAACAACAATATCACAATATGCCGACGACATAGCAATTTACACAAGTTCAAACACAAGCAAGAATGCAACACACAGACTACAAGGTGGCCTAAACAAACTTGAAGCAGGGTGCCAGAAATGGAAGATAGACGTGAACCCGGAGAAGACAAACTTTATACTTTTTACAAGACACAAGAAGAATGACTGCAAATTAATGCTACAGAACGAAGAGATCGAACCATCAACAACCACTAAATTTCTTGGAATTACATTAAATAACAACCTGACATGGAAAGACTATCTACAAAGAATTGAAGACAAATCGACAAGGAAAATCAATTTTCTACTAGTACTACGAGCCAAAGGCATCAAATCCAAAGTCTTAAAGTTTTTGTACCAATCAACAATTCTACCAGTACTCACATACGCATCACCTTCGTGGGCAAACGCATCAACAAGTCACTTACAAAGATTGCAGAACAGAGCACTAAAAATAGCCTACCATCTACCAGTACTAACACCAACAGAGGAAGTACATAAAATCACCAGGATGAAGACGATTCAAGAAGAACTAACAAGACTAAACTCAAATTACCTCAAAAGAGCTGCACAAACAAACCCCAAGATACAAGAACTAATCCGAGACACTCTACAACAATCAACAGACACATACGCACACAGAATCACACCAATGCAAGCAATTTTCCAACAACACCTTTCCGCAAGATGAACAACACCCGGAAGTTAACAGCTTGAAGAGCAGCAGGTCTGCTTCAGAAGCTTAACTGGTCACAGACCAACACATACTTACTGTTGAAAAATTATTTTAGCGTTCAAAAAGCTAGTGCTTTAAAATGAGCTCATTCTAAAAAGTTCAGTTTAAGTTAAGCCTAATTTAAGTTTTTTAACCCATTCAATCTTAAAACCCGCAGTGTCTTGAAAACTTTGGGTTAATTTGGGGTGGAGGCGTTGATGAATTATGACCACAACTGAAATCCTTGTTTACCTTGTTTGTCTGAGCCAACTTCTCGTTTTCCTGGCTGAATTTATCGACCTGGAGAAACAAAAAAAGTAACCTTTAAAAAATCTTAATTATTTCAAAATTTGAAAAACATTTGAAATGAAATGAAAAAAGTAGTATACTAAAAAGCAATTTGATTAAATTCTCACGCTCACTTTTCCTTTTATTTATTTATATTCTGGCATTTTACATTTTTTCACGAATTTCTTTGTGTAATTATATTTTTCTATAAATTCAGTTTTCAAGTGATGAAATAGAAAAATTTATAACTTTCATTGATATTTTTAGAAGACTTGCTTTGTTTTCAAATCCAGTTTTGTCTTCTTGAAGTTTTAAAAAGTAAAAAAATAATAATGATGACAATTACGTATTTTCAAATAAAAATAGTTTCAAACCTAATAACAAAAGTTCAAATACTTGACAAAAAAAGATTTAAAGTATATATACAATGAAGCATTACCTCTCCTGTCAATTTGTTCACACTCTGTTCCAGCTTCTGGTTGTTTTCTGCGAACTTGGCATTCTCCCCGGACAGTTTGTCAACTTCCCCACTCAATTTGGTCACATTTTGCTCCAGTTTCGCATTGTTAGCCTCGAACTTCTTGTTCTCCTCTGTCATCTTGGACACCTGAACAACAAAAAAGAGAGAACGTTTTCAAACACTGACGTGAAACGTGGCACGCCAACAAGCCGAAGGGCCAAAAAACCGAAAATGGGACATAAACATTCCAGCAAACCGAAATTTAAGGTTTTTATGCAACAACATTGTTATACGGTTGTTATGCAAATGTTACGTAATTCTGATGTGATTGGCGGCTCTGATGTAATTTCGGCCTCAAGATATAACGGTTTGTATATTCATGGCGGTTTGTTGAACATTCGCCAATGTTAATGACATAATATTTCCAACCATCTAAAAACTGAATGATATTGTTGTCTGGAGCTCAAATGTCAAGACAATTACACCTGTAATCATTTTTCATAATTCGTAAGGTTATGGGGGTTTAAAGTTAGGTAAGGTGTATACAGTCTGAACAAATGGTGAATTCCCATAGGTTCCAATATTCATAGGTTCCAAAATAAAAAATCAGTCGCATAAGTTCCAAAATTTATCTTCTTGAATTCTGATTGGTTGAAATTTGAGCCAACGAATTTATGGATTGATTGTTTACTGTTCAACCAGCATAAACTCAAGCTGCAGAATAGTGACCGCCGCAGCCGCGCCAACGTGTTGCGAGATTGCCACCAAAGGGTTTAGAAATTTACGAAATACGAAATTTAGAGCCGGTTATCGCCGCGAAGCGGCGACGCGCGCGTAGCGCGCCCACCGGCGACCTTAAACCGAGACTCGGCTAATTTAGTCTTTTGACCAATTGGAAAGATTTGGAACTTATGCGACTGCTTTTTTATTTTGGAACCTATGGGACTGATTTTTCATTTTGGAACCTATGAATACGCACCGAACAAATAGGCCGACAGCGTTGAGACTACTTCTATTGTTGATGGGACTTAGAGGTCGCTACACACGAGTCTATAATTGTATTTCTGAGAATAGCGCGCTTAAATTGAACTGTTCATCTAGGATCAACCGTACAAATTAAGCCCCCCCCCCCCCATCCAAAACGATTTAGTTGCGAGAAAATATGGATTTTTCATCAGCTCAGCTAACTTTGAGTATAGTCTAGATTGGATCTACTAAACAAATCCCCCCACCCCCTATGGTACCTACATAAGACACATATAATTTACGTGCTTATTTGATAAGTGTAACAGCTGTTGCCAATTAGATTTTTTTTGGGTTTCAGAATTTGCTGCATTCTGATTGGCTGAAAATTCGACTAATTTGCAAGCAATTTGCTAGCTAAACCTACTTAACAATTTCGCCCCTTTTGTAATGGGGGGGGGGGGGGGGTGTTAAGTAGATCCCCTCGTTCAAAATTAACCGACTATTACTGAAGAAAATTGAATTAAAAATTAATTTGTGCAATTAACAGCATCCAGATGGAATCCCGCATAAAAACGCTTAAAAACAATTTTATTTGCGCGTTTATGAAATGCATATTTTAAACAGAATCACTTTTCAGAATTAATACATGCTTGGGGAGGGCTTTCTACGTATTTCACTCAGGGGAAGGGGTTGATCTTCTATCATCAATGTTGATTATGCTCAATTGTCGTATTTATATGCCTATCGTCTTTCTGTACTGTCGTCTTATTCAACTTAGCCTGCTATCGACACAGTCCAAATATATTATGTTTGTTATCATAGTTTGCATGCCAGCCAACATATTTGCATTCCCCATTTTATTTAGCCACTTTTTTGTCCATAAAGTATTCAATTTAAAGCAACAAAACTCAACAGATTGGAACGCGCAAACAAACAGTTGTAGTATGGAACTATTGATCGGGGGGTTTTCCAGAGAGTGGTAAAAGGCAAGGTAAAATTTCAAGAATGTAGGAGTTTATTGCCTTATTTATACAAAATATTAATGATAGGTAATATATATCATATCGTTCCAATCTTAACCACGAGGCCAAACTGTGCGCTTGATATGCGCTAGTATATAAAAATTGTAACATATTTTAAAAAACTTACCTAATTAGGTGAGTTTCTCATCAATCATTCGATTACCAAAAAGATTTGAAAAAAAAACTTTAGCGAAAACGATTGTCTTTTGTTGTTTCGGCTTTCCGTTAATGCGGCTCTTTATGTACCCATTGCAGCATGGTCTCAGAAAATACCCGCCTATTATAGTACAAACGTTAAGGCCAATTTCAGTTCTTTTTTTGGAATCTTATAACGTTACTTCACAATTTTCCTTTTTTTGGGCAGCAGCTACAAAAATTGCGCAAATTTATTCATGATGTGAATTTCAGCTGGCTTATATGCTCGCATTTTCGATTGGTATTTTCGACTGGCCTTTATGCTCGCATTTTCGGCTGGTTTATACTTCGGCTGGTTAAAATACTCAAATATTGTGCATATTGCTGCAACTAGCATTGTGAATATTCTTACTCTTCATTAACAACTTTTTATGTATAATGTATTCAATTGAATGTGCGAACATTTCAACTGCATCGTAACATTTCAATCTTGGATAAATTTTTTTGATACACAAAGTTACTTCAAACTTGGTTGAATTTTCGAGTGAAAGGAATTTTATCTATTCTGTATGCTAAGTAACTTTTTTAGTAAATGTTAGAACTGTTTTGCATGATCTGTTTGAGCAAATGAACAGTAACGACCTCTATGGTCGCACCAGATAAATTAAGTTTTGAACGATTGTGTCGCAAAGACACGATCCAAAATGGTAGTAAAAGAAATATGATTTTACGCGTTCACACACGTCTTCCACGACAAAAAGGCATGATTGAAAAAAATATCATTAGCATAGGTTAGTGCATTTTTCACAATTTTGCCGGCTCTTTTTTTGGAAGAAGCCCGATTATAACAATTGAAAGAGCAAAAACATACTCTTCAACAGTTAGAACATAGTTGAAGATGGCCTCGGGCAAAAGAGCCGGGACCAAGTTAACATCCTCCGCCCAAATCCGTTGAGGGGTAGGATGTTAACTTGGTTCTGAGTTGGAATTTTCAGCCAATCAGAACAGCAGTGCTAAGTTTATTTAATTTAAAATGAACAATAAGGTGGAGAATGTTAACTTGATCCAAGAGTCGCACTCGGGAACTTCGTGCCCTCAGGCCGGGCTCTTTTTCCCTCGGCATCGCTCAACTATGTTCAAATTACTAACAAGACTGCTCCTATCAGGGCGAAGCCATGAGTGTTCCAACTGCCTTTCTAGGTTTATGGAGCAGTAATAACATAATAATAATAAAAAATTAGATGAAATAAAACAAAATGAAAAAAAAATTCTGAAATTTGAGTTTTTTTAATGAAAATCATTGCCCCACACGCCATATAAAGTACAAAATGATAGATTTCGCTCCTTGTAACAAATCAATTATGACAAATAAGCTTCCTTCAACCAATTTGGAACGATTTCTAAAACGGATTCAATATCCGCTTACGCGTTAATAGCGCGAAATATATCGCGCGTTAATTGTCCAAATCGGCCAAAATGGCAATCTTTAAACCCCAATAATTTAACGAAAAATGATCACAGGGGAAATATCTTTTCAAGTTTGAGCCCAGGACAACAATACCTTTTGAAACATTCCGTCAAAAATGGCTAGTTAAAAGGCCGAAAAATAGTGTTTTGAGGTGCTTGAAAAGTTTTAAATTTGGCTTGAAGTCCCTTGGGCTTGAAGTCCCGTCGGCCTGTATCCTAGACCCCATGCGGATTGGCTCTTCTTGAAAGCGGGTATTTGTTAAGTAAATCCTTGTGTTTCTCAACATTTCCTGGGTCTTCTTACTTATTCCGCCCAGAATAACTTGACAGTGCATTTCACTGCTGCTTTGCTTAATTTAATGCATTCAATTCAAGCCGAATAAACATCGTTCCACAAACTTTGCACTTTGACTGTCTTGACCAACGTGATTATCAGGTATGAGGAAGCAGTAGGTCCAGTGTTTAAGTGATTCATTTTTTTAGCGAAAACTAGACCAGCGATTCAGGTACAAATGATAAGACAGATAATATTCATATTTCTTTTCAATACATGGTTCAGGGCGGGATATTACGTTATATTTTTACACCTAAAGATATTTACTTAACTTTGGAACGATTGTGTCGCTATGGCACAATCCTCAATTGATGTACGGCAGTGGATGGTGCCGGTGGCATGTCACGGAGCCGAATACCCGGATAGCCGAAAAGTAAATCCCCCTTCTACCCCCTTACCTATTTCTTAACGAAAAAATCTATAGCCGAAAATGGATATCATAAAACATACCAAAGAGGAACCCTTTGGTTGGCGAGGGGGTCGAATCCTTGTAGTAGTCGGACTTTTGCTGTTAAATAATTGAATGAGAGTAAAAGAATTAGCCAATCAAATCTCTTAAAAATGTTCGGAATTTTGTTAGCTATAACAGGCTGCAAAATTTTGAGACATTTTTTGTCCAATCAAAATGCGTCTCTGTTTAGTGAATTTTTCTATTTAATTAAAATACAACCGGAGGTATTTAGTTTTTTCGGCTATCCGGGAATGCGGCTCCGTGGGTACGCACCATGGTGGCGTCCCTCATCCTTGAAGGACGAATGCTTGAAATTAAATTTAGCTTACTTTCAGTCAATCAGAATTGAGTATTCAAAATCTCAAATTAAATCGCAAAAATCTCTAAGTAAGAAAATAAATGCAGGCCATTACTGTTAATATTGACCGATTAGTTAATAAGCAGATGAGTTTTCGAGACTGAAAAATTCTTACGATTTTGACCTCATTAATCTTGATGATTATCTGAATAGTATTGCGGTGTTTTCGAGACTGAAAAACTCTTACGATTTTGACCTCATTAATCTTGATGAATATCTGAATAGTATTGCGGTTGTAACCAGCAATTTGTGATATTTTTGTTTATTTTCCACTGCTTTAATACATTTTCTGTTAAAATTGACTTCGACGTCAATACAAAATTACAAATATCGGAAATTATTATATCGGTAATTGCATTGTTAACGTGTGTGAAGTTTGTTTACTGACTACGGAGTGCGGTTTGTATATAAACA